TCCCCGCGCGCCCCGCCCCGGAGGCCGCCGTGCGCTCCGGGGACGGAGAAGACGGGGAGGCCTCGCTCCTCCCCCCCGGTGAGTGGAAAACACCGACTTGCGAAACCGTAGGGCAGTGCAGGGTCCCCCAATGGAGCCCTCGAGTTAACGACAGCCCCCCCCCATCCGGGACGCGCCCCCTTGGCCGGTGCAGTTACAGGCCGTGGCCGCGTCTCCTGGCACCAGCGGGGCGTGTCCCCGTGTCCCCCAGGGTCCCCTCCCGCACACAAGCTGAGTTAAGAGCATTCCACTGGCAAATCCAGTTTACCCCTTGCCCCCCAGGGACCAATGACACAAACCCAGCTTATTTGGCAATGACTTGTTTCTCTTAGAAGATTGTTGAGAAGGGTTTCATTTCCTCCTGGAGAGGCTGGAAAACCCAGGGCAGGGTAAGCGCGGGGACCGCCTGTCTGACGCTGGAGCACCCCCGGTGCGGGTGCCGCGAGCTCAGAGGTCCCCGCAGGCCGCCCCGCAGAGGTGCAGAGATAAAGGCCCTTCGCGCCACCGTGGAGATGCCAGCAGAACCCCAACTCCTTGGCATGTGCGCTCCCTCTCATGAGAAACTGCTCTCAAAACCTACTGCATTTGGCCCTGGGAGTGGCTCTGTCGGTGGGGCCTCCGGCCTGCCCTGAAGGGTTCTGGGGAGGCAACCAATCTGTGTCTCTGTCACCTCCATGTTTCTCTCCCCCCTTCCTCTCCCTAGGCATGTCTTTGGGTTAGGGTTAGAAGCAACACAGGACAACATACTGAGTTTGTACTTAAAAAGTATTTCTGTATTATCCTTCCCTCACCACCAACCACGATACAAAATTTAAAAACACACAGGTACACACGCTGCCATGAAGAGGTTATCCCGGAAGATCGCTCTGGAAATCTTTCAAGGCACGAGAGATGCACTTGGAGGCAGAGAAATGGACCGTGTATGATACAATCCCTTTTCCTGCAGCATTTCATCAGGTTAACACTTCCCCTCTCATGGACCCCTCCTTTGAGTAACTGCAGAGCAGTTATAAAAAGAATCTATTCAAAGTCCTTGAACTAGGTAGAACTCATGACATTTTTGTCCCCCCGCCCCCCCTCCTTTGAATGGATCCAGAAGGAAGGTCTGAGAACCCTGCTCCCGAGTGAGGGGACTGGGTAGGGTTCCATACCTTTCATTCGCCCTGGGAGCCTCTCCAGGTTGCGACACCTCCACCAGAGTCTGTAGTCCTGTGCATTTCCTAATCTGTCTCCCAGCATCAAAGGATCTTGGAGATGACCTAGCCCAGTCTCCTTATTTCATGAGTGAAGAAATAGGCTCAGAGAGGCTAAGCAAAGTGCTCAGGGTCACACAGTGAAATGGACTCCAATGAATGAGTCCCAGTCCTGTGCGTTTGCTACTGACGTGCTGGACCCCCCCCCCCCTTCCCC